ATTTGAGATATTGGTGTGATAATGGGTGTCAGGAATTTAAAATATACACATATATTTAATAGACAATATCATACAATTAAATTTAAGCATTTTAAACAATTATTAAAAAGTAAAATAGAAATAAAAATAAATTATATTACAAATATTCTAAATAATATCCATGTTATGCTGTTGCAGTGTACAATTAAAATGTGTCTGATATTTTCGAACAAAAGACGACGACGTCAATCAGTTAATCTTAATTAATGTTTATTTGATAATAAACTTAGTTCTTTTTACTGCAATTAATACGCCCATGTCAATTTAATCATTTTTATCGAATTTACTATATGTAATTTATAAATATTACACTCGATAAGCGTAATGTTCGATAAGCATGCGTATGTGTGACAAAGTACTTGATGTTTTATAAATTTATAAGGTGTAACAGTCAAACGGTAAATATTATCGGTACATGATAAATTAAAATACAACAAAAAACTCTACAAAAATAATATTATAAAATATTTTTTATGAATATAATATAAATTTTTCATGAAATTTAAAGTTTGAGAAAAATGCTTCTACATTCTATGAAAACTACAAAAAATTATCTGAAATATGAAATAATTATGTGAAATATTTAAGAAAACAATTACCTTAAAAACAAAAAAATGGTTAGATATGTGTACAAAATTAGAATATTCTAAATCAATGGAGCATGAGAAAAATTCATAGTAAAGATATTATTGTATTGAATCAAAGAAAAAAATTCTAAAGCCATCAACATCCTTTCTCTAATTAGGTATATTCATTTAGAATATTTTATCTAAAATAAAATATACAGTCAAGAAATGCGAATAATCCACTGATTTCAAAGCCAAAATGTATTCATAAATATTATGAATGATAAAAATGATAAAAATGTATAAAATCATTTCTCATTAAAATGATTAAACTTAAAAGTATATAATATTACAAGTAAACAAATAATATTAATTTATAATAATAAATCTTAMCTTTAAACCATCCCTGAGCCATGTGATCTTCGGTAATGGATCACCCACTATTTCTGAATCGATGATCACTTCTTGGCCTTCTTCGACCTCTTGAAATTTTGGTTTTACGACGAACTTTGGTTTCTTTGAATATCTATTCGAGGAATAACATTGTTATTGATATGTGTATATAATATCGTAAAAATCATAACATTAATGTGACAGTGTGTTCARTACGATTAACATTTGAGTTAGATTTATAAAAAAAATATAGTATATGTGATTGATTTTTTTTATCAATTGATATAATTTTGCTAAAAGTTAAATTATTTATTTATTTAAAATCAACGAACCAAAGCCCTWTAACAAAAAATGAAAACCATTATATATGAATTGGCACGATTTTAAAACTAATAGWCAAATATTATCATTTATCCAACATTGTTTTAGCAGATCTCACTTTTTAAATACGTATAAAGAATTGGCTAATCATTTGTATATTGTATTGTATCAAATATAAATAAAATACAATTGCAGTCTATCGACGAATTACAATTTGAATTGATATGGGTACATCGWACACAATGAAATATTCCATGTATCCCAGAGAATAATTTCTACACATTGCGATGTATGTGAATAATATTATATTTTACTTACAAATGATTAATCAAAGATATCTGTTCCATCCCCATGTCTTTGTGTTCACGTTCTACCACATTTACATCGCAACGACTCTCTACTGTGCCTGTGTCATTAGACACTCTCAACTTATAAGTACCMGAATCCCGGTTTGTTACACACGCTATCCTCAGTTCTAGGTTTCCATCATGATCAGTAATTATGTCAACTCTCCGTCCATTTCTTAATTGAATTCCGTCTTTGAACCTGTAGATAAAAATCAAACAAATATGTTTGGGATTATGTATAAACGTCAGATAGGTTAGGCGTTTCATTAAAAATATAATATAACTCAATAATAACCTACAAATTTATATTTTATTAATGTTTATCCTCTATACTATACAAACGTATAAACATRTTGTATGCACGCCATATGTGTGTGATGTAAAAAAAATTCATTTCAATTATACAACAGTCGGTCTATCAATTTGTTGGTCGAATGTAAGTTCTTACATGAGACAAGACCCAGCAGGTAAACAAAATACATATATTGGTTCCTGCACGATATAATAAGGTACATATATAAGTTCCTACACAGTAAAAAGCAGGTACATGTGTAAGTYCCTACACAGTAAAAAAAGGTACAGGTGTAARTTCCTACACKATGTATATTATAAGTTATCAATCTAATATCAGTTATATCATATTATAATATTGTCATACATTTTAACCCTTTATTCTATATAATATATAATATATTTACCTAATAAATATTATCAATTCAATAATTTAAAAAAATAATAAATGTAATACAATAATAATTCATAATTGTAAAAAAAAAAAATATAAACGAGTGCGATTACATTATTTCATCACTTACTCTACACTATTATGTTCTTACAATTATGAATTATTATTATATAAAATGCATTACTTATATTTAATATAGAATAAAAAGTTAAAATATATGACAGTATTTTATAGACGTAGATTGACAACTTATAATATACGTAGTGTAGAAACATACACGTGTACCTTTTTTTAACGTGTAAGAACTACACATGCACCTGTCTTCCATAGTGTAGGAACTAACATAGG